CATTAGAATTGGATTTGAAACAAGTTTTTTTGATTTTGATTGATTTTAAATATTCACTTAAAAAAGTCACTTAAATTTCCAGAAAATAAATTTCTGAGTAAATCCCAGAGAATTTTGGTGACAAATGTAAAAATTGTAACATTTCCGTTGAAAATTCAAACTTGAATGGACCTCAAAAACAATTCTGGTTATTATACCCTCCACCTTGGAAAGGAGGGTATATTAACTTTGTCATTCCGTTTGTAACATCCCTAAATATTCGTTTTAGACCCCATAAAGTATATATATTCATAATCAGCATAAAATTCTAAGTCGATTTAACGATGTCCGTCTGTCTGTCTGTCCGTCTGTCTGTCTGTCTGTTGAAATCACGATACAGCCCACATTATTTGACGTAGAGCTCCAAAATTTAGCAGAGCTATTTGCATTGTGTCTAGGATGGTTGGTATTGAAAATGAGATATATCGGTCCACGTTCTGGTATAGTCCCCATATAACGGTACCTCCCGATATTCGGTATTTTGATGATTTATGCCACATTTTTTCACGGATTTGTCTTAAAATTGGTATTTGTAGGTCATAGCGGGTCCCTGAGCGTGTGGCAAAACATTGCATGTATAGGTCCATGTTGTGGTATAGCCCCCATATAAAGGTACCTCCCGATATTCGGTATTTTAGTTTTTTTACCACATTTTTTCACGGATTTGTCTGAAAATCGGTATTTGTTGGTCATAATGGGTTCCAGCTCCGGTGGCGAAACATTGTAATTATAGGTCCACGTTTTGGTATAGCCCCCATATAACGGTACCTCCCGATATTCGGTAATTTGATGATTTTTGCCACATTTTTTTAGGGATTTGTTCGAAAATTGGTATTTGTTGGTCATAATTGGTTCCAGCTTCGGTGGCGAAACATTGCATGCATGGGTCCATGATTTGATATAGCCCCCATATAACGGTACCCTCCCGATATTCGGTATTTTGATGGTTTTTGCCACATTTTTTCACTGATTTGTCTAAAAATTGGTATTTGTGGGTCATAATGGGTTCCAGCTCCGGTGGCGAAACATTGTAATTATAGGTCCACGTTTTGGTATAGCCCCCATATAACGGTACCTCCCCATAATCGGCATTTTAATGGTTTTTGCCACATTTCTTCTAATGTTTCTTTTACCCTAAGGTGGAGGGTATTAAAAGTTTGGCCCGGCCGAACTTAATGTTTTTTTACTTGTTTTTTCTAATATCTTTTAATCCATCCTCACATATTTGCTAATAAAAAAATATATGAAAAATATTAAAATTATGTTAAAAAAAAAATTATGTTAATTTTTGTTAAAAGTTTTAACTTGGGATTATTTTGTTTGTATTTTTTATCTTTCTTTGATATTTTACTTTTCATTTTGATATGTTTCTGTGAGTAATCCTTGTCATAGTGCAGTATTTCTGCGCTTAGAATTTTCGGAATTTATTTTTTTATTCAAGTCGCTTGACTTTTGTCTCAAAATCCCTGTGATTTCAGAGAAAAGCACATTTTATAACTGATTTGTTGAACTCAATGAACCAACATCACTTAAAATTCGCATAGCTGCTTTCCAATGCACACTATTTGTGTATGAAAAAATGTGGCACCTACGCCAACGGGCGCCGTGGCTTAGTTGGTTAAAGCGCCTGTCTAGTAAACAGGAGATCGTGAGTTCGAATCTCGCCGGGGCCTATTCAGTGTTGCGATTGGTTTTTTGTATTTATTCTTGGAAAATGGTAGATTTTAAACGGCATAAACTGGTCATTTTATAGAAATGAATTAAAGATATCTGGGAGAAAAAAGTCTGTCGTGCCGACATTTTTCTAATTTTTCGAATATGGTTCTAAAAGAAAGTTTAAACAGGAACATATTTTTATTGTTGGCGATTGTCGAAAGCAATCTGAGAGTTTTATTTATCTGCCATTGGGTGACGAGAATTTATATACCTTTTTTTTAGCTTTGAACGAAAAACTGTTCATTCCATTTTCACGAACTGACATTTGTCTAGCCAATTTATGTTATTAGTAACAGTTGATGCAATTGGGGATAATTCTTCTCCACTGCTGGATTTGGAGCAAATTATTTGAATTAGGAGACTTCACCAACCGATAAATTTAATTTATTGTTCATAATTCTGTTTCGTATATATATTTTTTATTAATTTCTAATGGTTTTTATGTAAATTTTCCTCTTATTTCAAATCGAAACACATTTTATAACTGATTTGTTAAACTCAATGTACAGGCATACACTTAAAATTCGCATTACACTTTTTCAATACAAGTAATTTTTGAATGAAAATATGTGGGACTAATAAGCGCCTGTCTAGTAAACAGGAGATCGTGAGTTCGAATCTCGCCGGGGCCTATTCAGTGTTGCGAAATTTTTTTTTTTTATTATTGGAAATTGGGAAAATTTTCATTGCAGACATAGCATAAACTGGAAAATTTATAGAAATGATTCGAAGATATATAGGGGAAGGGAAGGCATTGGGTATCGGGAATTTATAATCTTTATTTAACTTTGATTGAACAACTGTATTTTTTTTAATTGTTTTACGAACTGACATTAGTCTAGCCAATTAAGGATATTAGCAAGAGATGGTGCAGTTGTGTATAAGTTTTCCCCACTGCTGAGTTCTGAGTATAGTCTTCCAATGATAAAAAACTTCATCCGCCGATTAAGTGGAGGGAAAAGTTTTCCAAATCGAATTCATTATTCATGATTTTATTTGGAATATATTTTTTATTAATTTCAAGTGGGTTTTACCTCAAAATTCCTCTAATTTCATATCAAAGCATAATCTATAACTGATTTGTCGAACTCAATGTACCGACACACACTTAAAATTCGCATAACACTTTTTCTATACAAATTATTTGTGAATGAAAATATGTCGCACGTTGACCAAATGGCGCCGTGGCTTAGTTGGTTAAAGCGCCTGTCTAGTAAACAGGAGATCGTGAGTTCGAATCTCGCCGGGGCCTATTCAGTGTTGCGATTTGTTTTTTGCATTTACGCTTGGAAAATGGAAATTTTTAATTATAGAAATAGCATAAAATAGACATTTTATAGGACTGAATCGAAGATATATAGCAGAGAAAAATTTGACGAATGTAAAGGAATGGACTGAAAATTAAATGAAAAATGTCACTTCGCTATTTATTCAAATCTTTTATAAAGAAAATTTAAAACTGGGAAGTATTTTTAACGCTGGAGACTGTCGAAAGCAATTTATATTATTTGTTTAGTTATCATAGGGTCTCGAGAATTTATTATCCTTATTTTGCTGTGACTAAAACCCGTTCCTCAATTATTATTTTATTATTATTATTTATCCTTGAATGTCCTTCACCCGCCGATTAAGTGGAGGAAAAACTTTTCCAAATTGAATTCATTGTTCATAATTCCGTTTGGAATATATATTTTTTATTAATTTCAAGTGGTTTTTATGTCAAAATTCTCCTAAATTCATATCAAAACTTATTCTATAACTGATTTAATGAACTCAATGTACCGACACACACTTAAAATTCGCATAACACTTTTTCAATACAAATGGCTTAGTTGGTTAAAGCGCCTGTCTAGTAAACAGGAGATCGTGAGTTCGAATCTCGCCGGGGCCTATCCTAAATGGAAGTTTTTTTTTTTCATATTTTTTTATTTAATTTGATTCTGTCCTCTAATTTTAGCAATCAATGCTAAATTTGTTTGCCCAAAAATTAATTAGCCTTCTCTATACAACATCGGAATTAAATTACCGAGGCTAGCGAAAAACAACTAATTAAAATGTGTTTTATGAAAATCAAAACACAATTTAATTAAATTCAAATATAATGTCCTTATACTCTGTCCCAATAACATTGCCACAATTCCGCCTGCTTATGCATTTGCCAGCCACGCTCAATTGATGAAATTAATTCCGCAACATATTCCCAAAACGACGAAACAAATATCGAAAAATCTCCCATAATACAAAAGTAATTAAATTAGTATTGTTATAAATTGAATTTACTTTGGAATTGATGATGGACATCCGGTTGAGATTTTGTGTTGGCTGTTTTCGGGAGGAGAGAAAAAAGAAGCAAGCATGACCATAATCCCCCCATAAAATTACCAAAGCTGCATGGGAAAAAAGTGCCCTGCTTATCCTTGTTTTGTTTAGTCTCTAGGGTCATCAGTATCCTCATCGTCATCATCAACATCGTGGCAGGATAATTGATATTGAGGTTTTCAGTGAGCTGTTTTTTTGTGTCTCTCTATCTCTTGTTTCTGTTAAGTTGATTATTGCGGAACAATATGGATAAAGGTCTGCCGTAATGGAGTGACCACTACCAATACCACCAAACAGAAATAATCAAATTTTGATGGTGTTTCTTTTTTTCTGTTGTTAAGGGTTTCATTATGGAAAGTAGGGAAAACAAAGGCAGAAAAAATAGGAATGGATGGAAAACATAGGATTTACAATTTTGTTGAAATAGGCAAGCATGAAGTGAAATATTTAGGCAAATCTGGAGATTTGTCAAATAGAATTGTAAGATAATTTATGGGGTCAATTTTTGGATTTCGCTAGACAGTAACATATCCAAGATTTACATGGGATACCTTAATAAAAATCTGAATTTGAATATTGGAGATGAAAAATAGTACTAGGTTCTTTGGGGTTTGAGACTTTTAGGGTAATTTTCCTTAAGAAAGTCAAGCACGAATACTTATTTAGTTCTCCAAACAAGGCCTTATTCATTTCAAGATTTAATGGTCCTTCACTACATTTGTGAATAAGCTGTTCCAAGCTTCCTTGATTCTTTAGAAGTCTAATAAAATAGCTAGATAAGTCTTCTTAAAATCTCTTCAAAAAATCAAACTTTAAAGCTTCGATGTTTCTCTAAAAGCTTTCCTGCAAACGTCTTCTCTTGAAACTTTCATGTCCTTTTCGGAAATATTTTTTCTAAGCTATTTTAATTTTTTCGAAAAACTTACCGTTTTTACAACTTGATTTAATATAGCCGCCTTATCCGGTTTGCTCGATGTTGCATCACCGCGTCTGTTAAGCTGTAAAAATTCGGATAGTTGCTCGATATAATTGTTTTCCAATTCACGACGTCGTTTCTCATTGTTGCATTTATTGATTTGGGATTGAGGCTGAAAGAAAAATTGAATTTGAGAATTTTATTATAATTTAAATCGGGGGATATTTTTATATAAAAGCTATAACAAAAGCTGAGCCCTGCACAATACGAACTCAATAAGGAAAAATTTGGGGAAATTAAATGAAAAACATGTCCAAGGCGAAAAAAGTACTTGAAATACTCGGACTTATCCCTACATTGGGGCTATTCGACAGAGTGGACAGATATGATCCATTTTCTGTACCAATGATTCTGGATATAGTGACACGAAATCAAAATGCCGAAATTCGCCAAATTAAATGGAAAACAAGGCCAAATCATAAAAAACTAAAAATAATCCTTACTTGGGGCTATACCATAAATTGACCAGTACAACCCAAGAAGCGATTTGATCGAAACCCGCGTCGCAGTGGCCGAAAAATGTCTCATGAGCTGAACATATCGCAATATTCGGCATTCGGAAAATATTGAAAAATGAGCTCGGGGAAAAGTCATTGAAATTCCAATAAGTGCAAGAACTTACACCGCAACAAAAAGAAAATAGACTCAAAAGAGCTAAAGAGTTGTTGCGTTTGGCCGAAAGTGGTGAACTGCAGAATTTCGGTTTCTCCGATGAGAAAACATTCGTTGTCCAGCAGTTTGTAAACAAACAAAAATTGATCGTGTTTACTTGTCAAAGAGGTCAGCTGAAAATGTGCACTTTTGGTTGGCCAACAGAACTTAAGCGCCGGCCATAGTTATGGTGTGGGCCGCCATAACAGCCCATGGTCGCTCTCCGCTCGTATAAATCGACCGTGGCATCAGAATAAATGCCGAATATTATCGCGAAAATATTCTGGAGGTTGTATTAAAGCCTTGGGCACGCAAACATTTTGGCCGTTGACCTTGGGAATCAAAACAGGAATGCACAACACTATCGCACTCAGAATGTTTACAAAATGTGGTTCCTCGCTTCATTTCCAGCGCACAATGGCCACGAAAATATCCGGATACCAATCCATTGGACTATTGTGTCTGGTGTATTTTGGAAAGCAAGGTTGGCACTAAAAAATACCAAAATGTCGATCACCTCAAGCCAGCGCTTCGCCGGGAATGGGCCAAAATACCGCAGAGAAACATTCGGGCAGCGTGTGAAGGTTTCATTGGCCGTTTGAAGGCCATAGTTCGTGCCAAAGGTGACCAATTCGAACAAATCTAAACTTATTCTAAAATTTAATGCTACTTCCGACATTTTTTACTTTCATTCAATAAAATTTAAAAAAATGTAAAAATTATGGCGTTTGACTTTGTTGCAGTTTTTTTATCTCACCCTGAGATTGAGAAATTCTGAGATTGTTAGTAAAATTTTGCGTAGGCTATTTCTTCCTTTGAATAAATTGGCCTAAATCCAACTTTGATGATACTTTGATGAGGCTTCAAATCGAAAAAAAGACTGAGGAAAAATTGATCAAAAAAATTAGGAAATATTTTCGGTTTGAATATTTTTTTACATTGACAGAAATATTTTTTTTTATTGATATGTAGTGAAAATAATGATTTCCTTTCTTCGGACTTATAGTGAAATTTGATGAAGAATATTTTTGGTGTCATCCTTCTTAAATGATGCTTTGTAAGAGAATTTTGCATTATCTTATATAACGTCCGTTTTTAACCCTAAAATGTGTTTTTCATTTTTATGAATTCCTGGCGTTAAGGCAAGTTCTACACTTTTGACGTCTCCTGGGACCTATAGTAGAATTTTATGACAAACAATTTTGTGGAATATTTTGACATGCTACGATCCCGTTTAAATGGAGTTTTCTACCATATATAGAAGAAAGGACCAAAAAGGCCCCTTTAATGACTCGTTTGATGGTTGAAATGTTCGACCGGAATAATCCTAGTGTTTTTATCGGTAATTTTTGTAAAGTCACTATATACCTAAAATCAACGAATTCCAAACTTAATCTGAAAATTTCAAGAAAAAAAAAATGTGGGAGAGGGGAGAACTTGCCCCTCTATTAAGGTTGAAATGTTCAAAGTGTCGATACACGTGTTTCCTACTTTTAGCTCAACTTTCATAGTCTGCTGGATTTTCTTGTAAATATTAAAAAAATTAATTTTGTCGCACAGTGTAAAAATATCGAAATAGCTCGAATCAATTACTTAAAGCTACGTAGTCATCAATTCCTACGTCGAACATTTTGTCCGAAAAGAAAAAAAAGAAGTTTAATCAAGAATATTTCCAAGGGTAATCTAAGTTTTTTATGTGGATGTTTTTCAGAACTTTTTCAAATTCTCCTCAGGGCTTTGAAGGGAATTTTGTTATTGTCCTTTTTGGAACTTTTAACCTGAAATTTTAAAGGGGATGGTTTTCCACTGGATCTGTGGGCTTTAAATGCGATCTGGGGGCTTTTTAAAATAAATTTTGTCAATACCCTTCAGGGCTTTAAACGTGTATTTCTAGTAGGACAAACTTTTGAAGGCTCTTTAGGGTTCAAAACGCCGATTTTTGAATTGCCAGTGGGGATTTAAACATGTATTATCATGAGGTCATTCATGGTGTTGTGCTTGGATTTGTTCTATTTTCTTACACCCTCTCTTTCAAAGGCTCACATTTCTTTACGCAAAGTTTCTTTGTGTTCAATTGGACACATAGAATACCAGAATGGCAAAAGAGAGTACAATTTTATATAATTTCTCTCTCCCTTTCTTTTTTTATTTATAAAGCAGACTTACCCACAATTTATGCATTTTTAGTGGTAAGAGTCTCTTTCGCCCTGCCGAATCTATTGCAAATGAAACTCGAAAGAGAGAGAGTGAGAGAAAAAGAGGGAGTACATGTGCTTGGATATACTTTTTCGTTGGATGCTGCTAATAGCTGCCATTAGAGCTTTAAATGTGGTTGGGTAGGATAATGTCTTGAAGGCTCACTAGGCTTTAAAACTCGATTTTTTGCATTGCCGGTCAAATATATATTTTAAAGACTCTTCAGGGTATTATGCATGGATTGGTCTACTTTCTCTTCGATTCTCACTCCCATAAACTTACATTGCTTTATTCTAACTTTCTTCATGTTAATTTGACATCAGATAAAAATTCTGGATTTTCAGAGGGAAATTAGGCAAAAGAGAGTTTTTTATATCATATCTTTCTCTCTCTCTCTCTTTTTTTAATACTCATAAAGAATTACTCAGTGACAATATTTTTTTTTCCTTCTCAATTGGGAGCTTTCAATAAAGAAAAGCTTGAGGAAAACTTTCGGATTTGAACTTACCAAATTGGCTTTGGAATCGTTTTTCCTGCGTATCTTACGATTCGACGACGTCGTTGAATTGGTTGAGATCGGTGATGCCACCGCATTCATAATGGCAGGACGTTGGAGAGCGGCAGCAAAATTGGCTGCAGCAGCTTTATGCAGTGCAGCTTGTGCCAACTGGGGATGCTGATGATGATTGTGTAGCTGTTGTTGTTGTTGCTGCTGCTGTTGTAAATTTTGTGTTAACAAATTGTTATTGTTGTTAAATAAACTATTGGAATTCTGAGTGTTCAGAAATAAATTTTGTTGCTGTTGTTGTTGCTGCAGATTGAATTGTTGCTGTTGTTGTTGCTGCTGCTGCAAAGCAGATATACGGGCCAACAACAAATTTGCGGCAGCAGCTGTATTTGGCGACACACGGTCCGTGGCTGTGATTGGCGCCGTTGCTGCTGCTGCTGTTGCGGTCGATGATGATGAGTTGGAGGAGGAGGTGGATGATGACGACGACGATGATGAAGATGTCGACGACGAAGAATTTAAAGAGGTATTGCCGTTGTTGGTGTTGCTGGTGGTGTTTGTGTTGTTGCTGTTGTTATTAAGATTGTTGTTATTCAAGGTGACAGCCCCTCCACCGCCTCCCACACTACCACGACTTCCAATAGTGGTGGGGAGGGGTACAACACCGGCTGATGTGGGTACGACCGGTGCCAGCTGACCTAACACTGATGCTCCAGTATTGTTGGAAACAGTTACAGCAGCTGTTGCTGCCGCCGGCGATGAACGTGGCAGATTGCAAATGTTTGTACGCCCGTTCCCCGGAGTTTGCCGACCGCCAATGGGGCTAATGGCCCCCTCTGCCGCTGGCGACTTTGTGGATATGGTATTCGTTGCTGTGGCGGCCGCCGTTGATTGGGTCCTTGAGGCAGTGCTAATGTTGCTGGCGGCGTTCGAAGCAATTGTTGTGCTGTTGTTTGTTGTTGCTTTGTTGGGAGAATAGCTGAGGCCGCCTCCGCCTCCGCCGCTGTTGATGTTGCTGTTGATTTTGTTGCTAGTGTTGATTTTGCCAAGGGAATTTGCGTTGGCTGCAATGGTTGCACCAAAGGTGTTTGACGAAAATGTTGTTGTTGTAGCTTTAGCGTTTGGCGAGAGAGATGATGGTGAAGACGACAATGTTGCCCAATGGTCTGGTAAATCACATGGGCCAAGCCTGAAATTTAATAAAAAAAAGAAGAAGAGGAAGAGAAATATTAGAATTTTTTTCGAAGAAAAAATACGATTTTGAAAGAAAAATAATTTGAATATTGAAAAAAAAATTTGGGTTAAAACAATTTCTTTTTGTCTGGGATTTTTCAGACAGTACAAGTCCTACAGACTTCCAGGTTTTTATGGGGAACAGAAAACATCCAGGTCTATTTTGGGCCATAGAAACCACCAGTTTTTCTATGGGACCATAGAAGACCACCAGCTCTTCTATGGGACCATAGAAGACCACCAGCTCTTCTATGGGACCATAGAAAACCACCAGCTCTTCTAGGGGGCCATAGAAGACCTCCAGCTCTTCTAGGAGGCCATAGAAGACCACCAGCTCTTCTAGGAGGCCATAGAAGACCACCAGCTCTTCTAGGAGGCCATAGAAGACCACCAGCTCTTCTATGGGGCCATAGAAGACCACCAGCTCTTCTATGGGGCCATAGAAGACCACCAGCTCTTCTATGGGGCCATAGAAGACCACCAGCTCTTCTATGGGGCCATAGAAGACCACCAGCTCTTCTATGGGGCCATAGAAGACCACCAGCTCTTCTATGGGGCCATAGAAGACCACCAGCTCTTCTATGGGGCCATAGAAGACCACCAGCTCTTCTATGGGGCCATAGAAGACCACCAGCTCTTCTATGGGGCCATAGAAGACCACCAGCTCTTCTATGGGGCCATAGAAGACCACCAGCTCTTCTATGGGGCCATAGAAGACCACCAGCTCTTCTATGGGGCCATAGAAGACCACCAGCTCTTCTATGGGGCCATAGAAGACCACCAGCTCTTCTATGGGGACATAGAAGACCACCAGCTCTTCTATGGGACCATAGGAGACCACCAGCTCTTCTATTGGGCCATATAATACATCCAGCTCTTCTTTGGGGCTATATAAGACCTCCAGCTCTTCTTTGGGGAGATAGAGGACCTCCAGTTCTTCTTTGAAATATTAAATATTGGACTTTTTGACACTTTACTTCATTCCGAATATTTTTCACCTTGTTTTTCACTTTCACAATTTTCCCATCATTTTTTTCCAATTCCCAAATTAAACCACACGTCGTCCTCCATAGAACCCCCATCTATGTTCTAGCGCTTTATCACAAGCATTTTAAAGGTTTGACCATGTTCTGTCTCAAAAAACCTGCATGTTTTCCTTATCAAAAATGTGGAACTCAATGCTTCGCCACCACATTGCGGCTGTATGTGAAAGGCGGTGGTGGCGAACGTTTGTTTGCTTACGACAAAACTTCCTTTGTTTAACCCATTCAATGAATACATTTATCAGTGAAATAATATAGTTTGTTTTCGTTGTTGTTGTTGTTTTTTTTTTTCAGAATTACAATGTTTCATTCAATTATAAAAACCTCCTCTAGTTCTAACAATAACACCATAGGTTGTCTATTGGGTTTATGTCTAGTGTGTGGTTAGCAATTTAATTAAACGTTGTTGTTTTTGTTTTTTTCTAATATTTTTTTGCTGTGGTTTTGGATAGACATGGTAATTACATGTTTTTTTTGATTTCGAAAATACGCCAGACATTATTTTGTATAACTAAATTACAATGCTGTTTTTACAGGTGAGCGATGCATACTTTTAGGCGTTTGAAACAAAATCCTCAATATGATATTGAAATATAGTGAATTTTAAAATGTTATGAGAACTTCTATTAAGGAGCTTCATTATTTATATTTTTTAACAATAAAAATGTTAAAAATCATTACACATAATTGCAACATAAAAATACGTTGCCTTTTAAAGGGAGTTTTAAACAATATGTTGAAAAAAAGGACCAAAAAGACCCCATTTTTGGCTCACTTGAAGGTTAAAATTGTCCACCAAAAGTAATCCTCGTGTTTTTATTTGCAATATTACCAAAGACCTTTTATACCTAAAATGCATGGGTTCTAAGGGATCCCAATTCGAAGATGTCCAAAGGTGTGAAAAATTGGGCTGGTGGTGTTTGGTTCTCCTTCTTTTTAGGTTATTTTGCAGTTTAAATTTTCAAAATGCCTTCTTCTTTTTTTAACTCTACTTTCGCCATCTACTGGATTTCCCCCGTAATTTTTGAAAAATATAAATTCTGTCACACAGTGTTTTTAGGGCTACAACAATATTTGGATTTTTTAAATAGAATTTTCACAGGATTATTAGGGCCTCAAAAGTGGAATTTTCCAATATTATTTTCCAAGAATTATTTGGACCTTAAATATAGATTTTAAAGGAATATTTTTCAAGGAATATCCGGAAATTAAGCGAGAATGTCTCAGAGAATATTTTCCAAGTGTTCCAAATGTCGACTTCTTAAAAATTATTTTTCAAAGAATTAAACGAGAATGTCACAGGGTTTTTTAAGTATTATTTTCCAAGGATTTTTAATATGAAAACTTAGACTTGGACAAACATGATCTTTATCCAGACTATTTTCCGAAGACTATTAGATTATCAAGTGTTCACAATTTAAATATTATTTTTAGGACCTTAAATAAATATATAAGGATCTTAGAGAATTGTTTAAAGGACCTCAAATGTGGATATGTTAAAGGTTACTTACCAAGGACCTTAAATTTAGTTTTTTTCAAAGAATATTTTCAAAGGATATATGAGGATTTTTTTTTGGATATTTCAAGGATTACTTTCCAAAGATTATTATATGCTTTTTCAAACGTTAACTTTATTAAGCTTATTTTCCTTTTTAAGGATTATTTTTAAGGACCTTAAACGGGGATTTTTTTTAAAGAATATTTGCAAAGGATATATGAGGACCTTAGAGAATTTAAGTTCAAGGACCTCAAATGTGGACATTTTAAAGATTATTTCCTAAGGACCTCAAAATAATATTTTCAAAGGATATATGAGGACCTTAGAGAATTTTAGTTAAAGGACCTCAAATATGGACATTTTAAAGATTATTCTCCAAGGATTAGAACCTTAAACGTGGATTTTATAAAGAATATTTGCAAAGGATATAAGAGAATTTTTGTTCAAGGACCTCAAATGTGGACATTTTAAAGATTATTTTCCAAGGGTTATAAGGGCATGAATCTTGGTCTTTCTAAAGATTATTTTACGAGGATTATTAGGACATTCAATGTGGAATTTTAAAGAATAATTTCCAAGAATTATGACGTCCTCAAACGAGGATTTTAAAAAGAATATTTCCAAAGAATTATTGGGGATTAAAGGAGAATATTTCCTAAGGATTATAAGGACCCCCAGCACGGATACATGAAGAATATTTTCGAGGATAATTAGTTCTTCGAATGTGGATTTTCAAAGATTACTTTCCAAGGATTGTTAGGGTCCTAAACGTGGACTTAAACTTTAAGGTTTTAAATATAATTTTCTAAGGATTATTATGGTCTCAAACTAGGAGTTTTTAATGATATAATATAATAATTTTAATAATATAATAATAAAAATAATAGTTCCAAATTATTATAAGGAATCCCAGCATGGATACATGAAAATATTTTCAAGGATTATTAGGCTTTCGAATGTGGTTTTTTAAAGCTTACTTTCCAAGGATGGTTAGGGTCATAAAAGTGGACTTTTATAGATTATTTCCCAAGGATTAATAGGTCCTTAAACTTGGATGCTTTAAATATTATATCCTAAGGACTAACTTAAATATTTCCCGAGGATTATTACGGTTCCAAACGAGGAGTTTTTAAATAATATTTCCAAAGGATTATAAGGACCCCCAGCAAGGATATATGAAGAATAATTTCAAGGATTATTAAGATTTTAATAGTGGATTTTTAAAGGTTATTTTTTAAGTATTATTGGGGTCGTAAACATAGACCTTTCAAAGATTATTTTCTAAGGATTAATGGGTCATTAAACTTTTTTAAAGATTATTTTCCATGGATTAACTTAAATATCTCCCAAAGATTATTATGGTCTTAAACGAGGAGTTTTAAATTAATATTTCCCAAGGATTGTAAGGACCCCTAGCATGGACATATGAATAATATTTCCAAGGATTATTAGGCTTTCGAATGTGGATTTTTTAAAATTACTTTCTAAGGATTGTTAGGATTTCAAAAATTATTGGATTAAAAAAATCAAGATGATATAGATAATAGATTAAAAATTATATGTATTCAGAGGATATATTAGGTCATCATACGTGGATTTTTTTTTTGAAGAATATTTTCTCAGAATTTTTAGGAACTTTTAAAAGTATATTTTGAAAAAAAAAAAAAAAATAATATAAGGCCTTCTCAAATGATGAATTTTTAAGAATATTACGAGACCCTCAAAGGTGGACTTTTAGAGAATTTTTCCCGAAAATTATAAAGGCCTCATTATTTTTTTCAATATTTTTTTATGCTCCTTAAGACTTTGAACCTGAAGCTTTAAAGGAAATATTCCAAGGATTATTATGAAAGGAATTCTCTAACGATTATTAGGGGCTATTATCGTAAATTTTGTAGAGCACATTTTTAAAGGATTACTAAGTCCTTAGACCTGGATTTTTTAGATAATATTTTCCAAGGTTTATTAAAGCCTTAATCATTGCTTTTTATGATGAATATTTTTTTTTTTTACCAAAGAGAGTGCATTTTTGTTAGATATTTTTCAAGCATTAATAGGTCCTCAACGTGAATTTGTTTCTATATGCTCCAAGGCTTTCAAAGTAGATTTTTTAAGAGGAATTTTTTCCCTATTTTCCAGGACTATAAGTATGGGGTTTTTAAAAAATGTATTAATGGCTTTGGCCTTTAGACATAAATATTTAAGGAAATAATGTCAGGTTCTATATGAAATTAAAACAACAATATTTAACAGATACCAGTTCGAATTTTTTTCAGGACATTTTTTCCAAATCTTATTTAAGTTAAGGATTTTTAAAGTAAATTGTTAAATATTTTCGCCTTATAAAAATAATAACCGCAAAAACAAACCCTCATCCAATGCAATAATAACAATTCCAACCACTGTATTCTGACG